AGACAGAATCACGCGTAATTATAAAAACACAAATCTGACTGAGTAAATAAATTAAGATTAAGAGGACAATATCACAAATGCTACAACTGTCGCATTTTTTCAGAAGGCACCCCCCCCCCCCAAGGAACAGTTACCCTTTATGTTTTAATTCTTGTATCTTTTTTATACAAAATAATTTAACTGAAAGTGCTGACTTACACGGTACACTTGAAAATTAATGACTAGAAAAGGAGAAATTCGTGTACTAATTGTGGCAAATCAATTTTTTATGACATTTAGAGTTGATCTAAAACCACTGTTTAAAAGACTGATTCCAGATGAATCTAATACCCTAAGGTTAAAAACTACAAACATTTATAATTATACATGATACTCATGTTAAAGTTTCCAGTATTCTTTCACAGCAAAAATTCATTGATTTTGTTTCATGGTGAATTCATTAAAAATTAAAAACAAACACATTGAGAGTGAGATTGTGAGACATGGTTTTAAAAAGAAAGTAGAATGTTATCCTTTAAATGCAGTCTTAATGAACACGATTTCATGTTCTCTTTTCAAACTTAAGCCATAGTCCTTGCTCAGCAAACATCTTGTACTTGTGCACTTCGATCGGGTACACAGACTTGTCACACGAGACTGGTGTAAGTCTCTGCAGGATGGCCGCCAGAGCTATCTTTATCTCCAGTTGAGCAAGTCTCATACCTGCCGGGGAAAGTATGAGAACAAGAAAAGATGTTAAATTGTATGATAAGTTGAGTTCAGAAAAGCAATATATTATATCGTCCTTATTGGTTATTTAGTGCAGGAAAAAAATAAAACACATCACAAACAGGAAACAACAGAGCCAGGGAGAAAAGAAGAGGGCCTTCATGTGGCACCATCCAGCCACCCACTTGATGTTTAAGCATGTGTGGGCTTGATATTCTATTATCTAAAATGCTTTCTGAGATCATTTTACTTTTAGAGTTTTAAAGAACTTGCAACCCAATAAGGTCATACTAGGCACCTACGGTTAGAGCTGTTACAAGAGAGTAACAAGAACACAAAAAAAGGATAGATGTTTGATAGGTAAGAAAGAGCAAATCACACCAGAGTACCGGCCAAAAAATCCCGCTGTAGGCAAGTTCCCGCAACAGGAATGCAAAGGGGAAATTACTGAAACATTTCTAAAAATCCACACGATTACATGTACCTCCCTTTCATATAAATAAAATTTGCGCTTTAGATTAGTCTTCCCTTACTTGTCAACTTCATTGATCACCTCAGCCTTTAATTCAAGTGAGAAGCATATTCCTTTTGTCTTTGTTGGAAGCCATCTTTTCCTCAGTCTTGTTGCTAGAGCTGTATATCCTACCGGTAGGCCTACTGTAGAACTGGTGAAGTGGATGCGTGCGTATGCCTGAGCATTAACGATCGCAATTCAATGAATCAGGAGTCACACACTACACGCTCCCCTCTTGTAATAGCCTAGCCTACTTTTTGGCGTAGCCTAGGCCTAGGGCTATGGCCTATACACTCTCATTCTGAGCAACTAGGCAATGGCA